AAAATTTATGTAATTCGATGACTCTTAAATCGCCAGGCAAGAAAATTCAGATATAATTATCAACTTTTGGCAGATTTTTAACTCCAAAATATTATTTTCGAATTTGAACAATTTTATGTCTCCTAAATAATATTTTAAATATTTTTTTCGAGTTTTATCATGTTTTTATTAGTTTTTTTATCTCCTAAATATTAATTTTGTTTTTTTATCAGATTATTGTCTCCTAAACATTATTTTCGATTTTTATCAAATTTAATCTCCTAAATATTATTTTAAATAATAATTTTGATTTTAATCATATTTTATCTCCTAAATATTATTCTAATTATTATTTTCGTATTTTATCAACTTTTATCTCATTAACATTATTTGAAATATTATTTTCGATTTTTATCAAATTTTTATCTTCTAGCTATTATTTTAAATTTTATTTTCGATTTTTATCAGATTTTTATCTTTTAAATATTATTTTTTTATTTTTTTATCAAATTTTTATCTCCTAAATATTATTTTAAATATTATTATCGATTTTCATCAAATTCTCCTAGATATTATTTATAATAATCTGATTTTCGATTTTTACAGAAAAGGGTAAATAAATCTGATTTTCATCCCTAGCGAATTTTGTGACATCGTTTTACATAATGTTTGCAACATTTGAATTTTATTTCTTCCCTACCTAAGGCTTCTTCTTTTGGTAACCCGACTTTAGATTTTGTTTTTTATCTTCTTCATCCTATCGACTGTGTCAATTAGTTTACATCTTTTTCCATCATGGCTTATCGGTAATTTCATTTTGTTAAATTATGTGTTTCATTAATTTATACCAAAGTTTTCAAATTTTATGTATAACAATTATTTCATTTTATATGTTATTGGACATGTTATTGAAATGGATGATTTGAGAGAATTAACCAAAAATGGGCGGAGCCACAAGCTATTGGAAGTCGACCTTCAAGACTTATTGTTTGTATGCGATATTTAATTTATTGTTTATATTTATTTTTGTTTCTTAATTTTCCAATTGTTAATTCCAGTGGCAAAACAGCCTGAAAATGAGGCAGTGGAGAAGGGCTTAGTTCCGATGCAAGATGTATAGATGGCCTTTTATGTTGTCGATAGTTTGGTTTTGATTATGTTAACTAAGTTATTAAATCTAATTACTTTTAAGCTCAACATGAAAGACATAGTTGATGATTTTTTTTCTGATTCAAATTTTCAATCTACTGGTATTAGCTGATTCAATTCATTTGGAAAATTATTCAATAGTAAAGTTATTTCTTTTTTTTTTTTGTGTGTAGTATACTTAATGATGTTCCAGTATAATAGAATTTTGATCATACGATACATCAAATGTTTGTTTATATTCTTACAACATCAAAACAATGCAATTTGTTGTCCCGTGCATCGCACGGGTACAACTACTAGTGAATATAAATTGTCAATGATTTCTCGACATGTAATAAAAAAAATAATTCCAAATTACTCTTGGCATGGTATCTTATATCTTATATATAAAAGAAAGAAACGCTAGGGCAACCCTAAGAAACCCTAATGTCATATTTGTAATTTTTTTTTCAATTTTTATCAAATTTTTATCTCCTTAATATTATTTTAAATATTATTTTCGAATTTTATCATATTTGTATCCCCTAAATATTATTTTTTATTTTTATCAGATTTTTGTCTCCTAAATATTATTTTTTATTTTTATCAAATTTTTATCTCCTAAATATTATTATAAATAATATTTTTTTAATTTTATCAATTTTATATCTCCTAACTATAATTTTAAATATAATTTTCAACTTTTAGCAGATTTTTATCTCCTAAATATTATTTTCGAATTTTATCAATTTTATATCTCCTAAATAATATTTTAAATATTTTTTTCGAGTTTTATCATGTTTTTATTAGTTTTTTTATCTCCTAAATATTAATTTTGTTTTTTTATCAGATTATTGTCTCCTAAACATTATTTTCGATTTTTATCAAATTTAATCTCCTAAATATTATTTTAAATAATAATTTTGATTTTAATCATATTTTATCTCCTAAATATTATTCTAATTATTATTTTCGTATTTTATCAACTTTTATCTCATTAACATTATTTGAAATATTATTTTCGATTTTTATCAAATTTTTATCTTCTAGCTATTATTTTAAATTTTATTTTCGATTTTTATCAGATTTTTATCTTTTAAATATTATTTTTTTATTTTTTTATCAAATTTTTATCTCCTAAATATTATTTTAAATATTATTATCGATTTTCATCAAATTCTCCTAGATATTATTTATAATAATCTGATTTTCGATTTTTACAGAAAAGGGTAAATAAATCTGATTTTCATCCCTAGCGAATTTTGTGACATCGTTTTACATAATGTTTGCAACATTTGAATTTTATTTCTTCCCTACCTAAGGCTTCTTCTTTTGGTAACCCGACTTTAGATTTTGTTTTTTATCTTCTTCATCCTATCGACTGTGTCAATTAGTTTACATCTTTTTCCATCATGGCTTATCGGTAATTTCATTTTGTTAAATTATGTGTTTCATTAATTTATACCAAAGTTTTCAAATTTTATGTATAACAATTATTTCATTTTATATGTTATTGGACATGTTATTGAAATGGATGATTTGAGAGAATTAACCAAAAATGGGCGGAGCCACAAGCTATTGGAAGTCGACCTTCAAGACTTATTGTTTGTATGCGATATTTAATTTATTGTTTATATTTATTTTTGTTTCTTAATTTTCCAATTGTTAATTCCAGTGGCAAAACAGCCTGAAAATGAGGCAGTGGAGAAGGGCTTAGTTCCGATGCAAGATGTATAGATGGCCTTTTATGTTGTCGATAGTTTGGTTTTGATTATGTTAACTAAGTTATTAAATCTAATTACTTTTAAGCTCAACATGAAAGACATAGTTGATGATTTTTTTTCTGATTCAAATTTTCAATCTACTGGTATTAGCTGATTCAATTCATTTGGAAAATTATTCAATAGTAAAGTTATTTCTTTTTTTTTTTGTGTGTAGTATACTTAATGATGTTCCAGTATAATAGAATTTTGATCATACGATACATCAAATGTTTGTTTATATTCTTACAACATCAAAACAATGCAATTTGTTGTCCCGTGCATCGCACGGGTACAACTACTAGTTTAAAGTAATCCAATAAAGTTGATTATTTCAAATGAAATCATAAACTTTTTCGGTTATTACTTTTGAATATTTTAATTATTATTTGAAAATCAAATTATGCTAGTCCACAATTAGGGGATCTCGTTAGTCCCCACAATTATATGCTTTTTGACTATATGTGCTCTCTAACCTGGATTTTTTTTTTTTTTTTTGGCTCGATTTCAAATCTTATTTTCATTTCAAAATTGGTCTCAAATCTTATTTTGATGAGTAAATCTCTTTTGACATTTTAAAAATATTTGTTAGTTTCTATAAATGTTTCAAGAATGTGTCAATCCCCAAAGCATAAGTTTAATATGCAATTCACTCTTTAGGGTAGATACACATACTAAAATACTTTTTAATTTATTCTTATCTTACTTATTTTATCTCTAACTTCTAACGCAATGTTTGGGTTACATGCTTGCTCTTTCTTATTAGTTGCGATTCAAAATTTAACTTTTAGTTTTTCTTTCTTAAAATTACGAACAAGAAAGAAATGACGGACAAGAAAGAAATGTGACGACGGATGAGGCATCGAAAGAAAAGAAAATACTTTTTTTAGTTTTAGCTCTCAACTCAACACCACTCTAGCGAGCGTGAAAAAAAAAACGAACTAAATAATAATAATAATAATAATAATAATAATAATAATAATAATAATAATAATAATAATAATAATAATAATAATAATAATAATTATTATTATTATTATTTTGCCTATGCCAACTTCTAATCAAATTATGCTCGAGATGAGATAAATTCAAATTGTGGGTGATCAGTTTTGCCCAAGGCACATATATATGATAGAGTGCTGATTTATTTATTGAAAAAAAAAAAAAAATTGTTAGTGATTAGTGATATAGTACTTTGATAAATAATACATGAAATATTACAAAAAAAAAAAAAAAAATTGAGATGATAAGTTTTGATTTTTTTTATTTATTAAAATATAATACAATTTTTTTGATATTTTTTATTAAGTAACAGTATCCATATTTTTATCAAATATTCATATCTTTATTAATATACATTTATTTAATTATCATAATTCATAAACATAATGTGAAAGGCTATTGAATTGGATGAAAAGAAACCTGTCTGTATGACACGTGGGTATATCCTGACCGTCCGTTTGGATCATCTGCCACCCAGAAAGGTGTAGCAGTCTCTAGAATGTTCCTACCTTCTCCAGAATCTTCATACAAAAGCCCTTTCCACTGCTTTAATTGGGCTACTTTCTCTGTTCTTCTCCTCGCAAGTTTCCTTTCCGAAAATCGCCATTCTCGATCTGTGTTCTAATCGTAATCGAATCAATTCGATCTGTTGATTAGGGATTAGTGAAAGTAATTGAAGATGTTTGGTAGGGCGCCTCCGAGTAAAAGTGACAACACCAAGTATTACGAAATTCTCGGTGTCCCTAAAACGGCGTCGCCTGATGATTTGAAGAAGGCTTACAAGAAAGCTGCTATTAAGAATCATCCCGACAAGGGCGGTGATCCCGAGAAGGTATTATTCATCAAAATTCAAAACCTTGATTTTTTGCAACTTTTTCTGTTTCTTTTTTTTGCTTGATTGGCTGTTTGGGCACATGAATTTTTATTTCCCTGACTTGTGAATTTTGATTTTTATGTGGTGAGTTGGTATTCTTTACGATTTAAGGCTACTATATTCAAATTAGGGCTATGAACATGTTAATTCCAGGTGGAGCCTTGAAAATTTTCAATCTTGAGCCCGGTTATTGAATTTACGGGCTTTAGTTGTCGGCCTCCTTGTAAGTGTGTTCATGAGGTTAGTGTGAGTTCAATGTATACTTGACAATGATCCAAATAAGATGGTAGATTAATGAATTTTGTCTTCATGAGATGTCTGAATAGGAGGAATTTAGGATTATTCAGTAACGTGAAGATAAACGATGATGTTTTATGATATATGTTTGGAGAACATTATTCAAACAAATTGGATTAAAGAGCCTGTTCGGGGGATTCATTTTGATTTTATATAGATGATAATTTGTGGCAGTAATGTTATTATTACAAAAATCATTTATATGGGGTAAAGCCGATGTCTTTCTTAGAACATATTTTTGTAAATATTGCTGATCTAAGTGGTTTGTGTGACCTGATTATTCCATTTTGTTGTCAATCTTTAGCCTGCTATATCGCAGTTTTCGTTATTTACGGTTGCTAGATAACTTGCCGGCATCTTTTATATTTGTCATTTATTTTAGTGTCTAGGTCCGGACTCTGTCTAATTGCCTTAATTAGTGCAGTAGTAAAAAAGTATAGCATGATATTGCGTACGTAAGTATAGCGTGTTCTTATACGGCCATGCTACCAGAATTGTTGATTATAGAAAGTCGGTATACAATTACAATAACTTAATTATCATGTCTCGATATTCAGATGAAAACTATTTATTATGATGCCTCAAATGCTATTCATTTGTTTGATGCACGGCTCTTGATTGATGTACTTATTAGTATCTAATGAAGTCGTTTGTTTGCTGCAGTTCAAGGAGCTTGCTCATGCTTATGAGGTTTTAAGTGATCCCGAAAAACGTGAAATCTACGACCAATATGGGGAAGATGCACTCAAGGAAGGAATGGGTGGTGGTGGTGGTGGTCATGACCCATTCGACATCTTCTCATCCTTCTTTGGTGGAAGCCCATTTGGAGGTGAGCCATTTATTTGATCCCTCGTCTCATATTTTGACAGTGATTAATTAGGTTGCCCTTTCATTGTGCTAGTTCAGTAGACTCTTTATCTTTCTATAAATGCGGTATAAACCCATAAATATGTTTCTTGATAACCAGGTGGTGGCAGTGGTAGAGGACAAAGACAAAGAAGGGGAGAAGATGTTGTGCATCCACTGAAAGTGTCGCTCGAGGATTTGTACCTCGGTACCTCCAAGAAGCTGTCCCTATCGCGCAATGTACTCTGCAAAAAGTGTAGCGGGTTAGTGTCTATTGAGGATTTGTTTTATCAAAATTTCGTCTTTCTATTTCGGAAACATAATACTAATCTGGTTTTTTGGCCTTAATTTCTGCTAATGCAGTAAGGGATCGAAGTCCGGAGCATCGACAAAGTGCACAGGCTGTCAAGGAAGTGGTATGAAGGTGACGATGCGGCAGCTGGGGCGTGGTATGATTCAGCAAATGCAGCACCCTTGCAATGAATGTAGAGGAACCGGTGAAATAATCAACGATAAAGATCGATGCCCTCAGTGCAAAGGTGAAAAGGTTGTCCAGGAAAAGAAAGTCTTGCAAGTACATGTCGAGAAGGGCATGCAAAACGGCCAGAAAGTTACGTTCCCCGGAGAAGCTGATGAGGCGGTAAGTTTGTGAGGATCGGTTCAATTGTTTATTATTATTTTTAAAGGATGGAGGTGTTCTTATATTTTGTTTAATATTGGTAATTACAGCCGGATACGATTACTGGAGACATAGTATTTGTGCTACAGCAGAAGGAGCATCCTAAATTCAAGAGAAAAGGCGACGACCTTTTCATCGAGCACACACTTCCGCTCGCGGAAGCTTTGTGTGGCTTTCAGTTTGTACTTTCCCATTTAGACGGACGACAGCTTCTTATCAAATCACAGCCCGGAGAAGTAGTTAAGCCTGGTTAGTTCTTCTTCTAACTTCCTTCGGTTCGAAACAATTATTATCATGCAATTTCGTACCTCGGCTAATCAAACCCTAATCTCTGCAGATTCGTACAAGGCGATAAACGATGAAGGAATGCCGATGTACCAGAGGCCATTCATGAAGGGTAAGCTCTATATCCATTTCAATGTGGAGTTTCCGGATTCTTTGAGTGCAGAACAAGTGGCAGCTTTGGAGAAGATTCTTCCACCAAAGCCGCAATCGGAACTGACGGATATGGAGGTGGACGAGTGTGAGGAGACGACACTGCACGATGTCAACATCGAGGATGAGATGAGAAGGAAGCAGGCGCACCGTCAGCAGGAAGCTTATGATGACGAGGATGAAGATATGCACGGTGGGGCCCAGAGGGTCCAGTGTGCTCAGCAGTGATCAACTATATATACACATATATATTTACAAGAATGGTAGCACAAATTTGCTTGCTGTAGTGATTTGAAATTAAGATTTTGTGCCACCTGGCTTTATTTTGTAGTGAAACTGTTGTTTTTGATGATCTAATAGTTTTATTGTTTTTGATGATTTGTGGTTTCTATTTTCTTGTTTATTGTTTTTTCATCCATTTATTATTCATGCTGATGAATAAACTTGTTGATTTGTATTACTCATATTTTTTCTTAAAATAAACTTGTTAAATCTGGTGTTGAGGTACACATTATGTATATAGTTTTATTAAAAATATTAATATTATTATTGCTTTTAAAGATTTTAGCAACTACTAAATCACCAAATTATATATAGATATAAATTAATATTCGATAAATTGTTAATCTCGTTTAAATGATAATTTTATTAGTTTCAACTTGGTGGAAACATGCTAATATATTAATCTATATATAATATAAAAAGAGAATCTATGCCCTCAATGATTGACATGTGGCAAATGATGATGTTATTTGTCAAAATTGCTTAGTTGGAGTTCAATTGATTAGGTGGATTTTTCAATTGATTATGTGTCATTTTTATTTAGGTATGTTTTTAAGTTCTTTCCTATTTCACATTTACACAATCATTTAATAATTACCACATATTAACATATAATATTTCAGGAATTTAATTTCCTATCATTTCTAAAAATATTATATTTTTTATAGTTTTAATTTTTTGAACTATATTTTTCGTCTATTCTTTTTTATTTTTAAATTCAGAACACTCAATTTTTAACGAATATTCGATTTTTTATATCATATTTTACACACTATTTTTTTATAGCGAAATAATTATTATTATATTTAATTATCTATACACGGTTGATTAATTGTTTTTATCTCACGTTTTTAATTTAATTCTCCGAAATATATTTTTCGAATGTCTTTTTTTTTTAAATAGAACACTCATTTTTTATGATATATATTTTGGAATTTAGTTTTTTTAATAATAATATTCGAAAATAATAATAATAATACTAATAATTATTATTTTTACAAATCATTAATAATTATTAATCACTATACATGGATTTTTTTTGTTTAAATGTTTTGCCAACTTAATGTATATGTATTAATTTAATTTTATAAATATTAATAACTAAACAACATTTAAAATTGAAATTAAAATTTTTGTATTCCAAATTTTGAATTTCAAATATTTTTTTACTATAAATTATCAATCATTCCCCAATTTTATGTCATATAATTTGATTTCTTACCTTTTTAAGTTGATTGGTTTTGATTCATATGGTTAATTCATGGAAAATATCTAATCAAATAATTGGTAAGATTATAACATTAAATGTGTATTTCCATAAGAACTTACTATTTATTTTTTTATTATATAAAATTCAAGTATAAATACCCCTCATTCCAATCCATTTCACTCACTCATACTCTCCACCCGAATTTTACACTCGCATAAAAATAAAAAAAATAGGTCAGCACGAAATGGCTGCAAAGAGGAAATATTGTATTTTTTTGTTGTTAATATATTCATAGTTTTACATGTTCTTTATTTCATTATTTTGATATAATGTATGTGTCTAATGGTTATTTACACATATACATGTATTTAGTCTAACATGTTATTTGTTGTTTGTTTATGTTATTTTTGTAGATATTATGGATAATATCGACATATGGGCTATGTGTGACGACATTGGTTGCGTCAAATGAATAGAAAGAATTTCGTGAATCTCATATGAATTGTGCGAGAAAAAATACTCATTTTTTTCAATCCTTAAAAGACCGTCATCGAAGTGATAAATGTAAAACATTATATGCAATTATCAATTTTCTATTCTTTATATATGTCTGTAATTATTTTTAATATTGTTTCATCAAGCTCATTTAGTATATGGTTATATATGCAATTTCGCTATTTAAAATTTTATATATTTCATTTTTTAATTCGTGTAAAGTTGGATCATCTGTCGTTTTTGTTTTTGGAAACTTATTATTTTCGTCTTTTTTTCTTGATTTGTTTCACTTAACTACATTGAAATGTTGAGTGCTAATATATTATCACTAATTCATTATATAGTAATTATATTGTTTTATAATTGTACATTAATTTAGTTTATTAATGCATTATTATATTAATGGAATGGTAATATGTCAATTAATGGAATAAAATATTGTATCGAGTTGTCCTTTTTATATACTCAATCTTAGGAAATTATAATATATTAATTGAATAGTAATATGTCAATTAATGGAATGAAATATATTTAAATTGTCAAAATAATTTAATAAATGGTATATATAAGTAACATATTTCAATATTATTCCATTAAATATTTAATGAAGTAATAAAACGCATTATTAACTAGATTTTTATTTTTTATTACATTTATTACGAATTAATTATTTTAATATTTTTTTATTATATAAATTACTTTATTTATTTAATTTTCCTAGCATTTTTCATTATGATTTTTTTTTTTTTGTATTTTCGATAATGTTGTAACATAAGTATTTGTAATGATTATTTTGCATATCAACTTATACTTTAGAGAAGAAAAAAAATAATGTCTTACACTAGCATGAAATAATAATTTGACTTGATTTGTTTGATATTCTTATTAAAAGTATTGATTTGAAGGATAAGATTAATGACTTGATTTCATTTGTTTGATATTCTTATTTAAAGTATGAATTTTAAGGATATGATTGATCACTGATTTTATTTGTTTATTTATTTTTTGTTATGTTTGTCTTTGTTAAATACAAATTGATATTATTTAGGTTTCTATTTATTATTGTATCAAATCAATGTGTGTATTATGCTAAATAAATTATGAGCATAATATTTTATACCTAATAAACACGTAAAAGTGGTAATATTTTAAAAGCCATGTTATATTAAAATTGGTTACTTTTGTTATGTTTCCTTGGTTATGTTTCCTTGGTTATGTTATTTCTGATTCTGATTAATTCATTACTATTTAATGTTATTATCAAATCAATACATGTGATTTGAATAATTTTTTTAGTAACCCCTAACAATCGCATTTATATTATGCATCTCAATAATTTCGGATTCTTATTAATTCTAATTGTTTGAATTTGTTTGATTTGTTCTAACCGAGTAACACAAAAAATAATAAAATATATTGTTTGCTTAAAGTTATTTTATTAACTTATTTAGTATGTGAAAATGAAGTATAAAGACCATCAACACAAACTGATCATTTATCTCATTCTTTCTCAACACGTTTTGTTATGATCATGCTAAACCAAGGTCCTCACCTTAAAACTTTTTTTTCTTCATATTTATGTTTTGTAATTTCATAATGCGATCAGTATTGTGCGATGTGCATGCTCGCTTTGAAGCATTTTATTTATCGCCAAGTGTTTATTACGTTATACGTTTATTATGTATGCGTATGTATAATAATCTAACAAATCATTGTTTTGCTTTCCTTTTAATTTTCAGATCCATGGATAACATCGTGTGTGCTATATGCGGCGACGTCCGCAAGGGAGAAGCATTGTGGCGTTGCGTAGAATACAAATATATGATTTAGATATATTATATGGATGGGTTTTAAAAACTTTTACTTCTGGTTTTCCATCTTTGATTATACATTCAATAATTGTAAGTTTAGTTTCGATGAAGAAGTTGAGTTTAATGAAGGTGATAATGTAATAAAAAAATACTAAAGTAACTCATGTATGTATTTCGTTATTTGTAATAGAGATTCTTATATAATTTGTTGAACATATTTAAATAAATCTTCTTTAGTGTTTATATTTTTATGTTACAATATTAATTTGTACGTATCGTAATAATTCTTTTATTTTTATCATTTTTTAATATTTATGTAAAATATTATTAGTTTGTACGTTCATAATTTTTTTTTTGCTGTTAATCTTTTGAATCTTTATGTACATACATGATATTAGATTCACCCTTCTTCATTCACTGTAATTCCAATATTATGATATATTAGAAACATTGTGCCTAGATGTATTTGTGACAATATTTGATTTTGTATGTTTTGAAATAGGAATAATTATTTATGCAAGCATATTAGGATTTAGAAGTAATGTTTTTGCAGAAAAACCTATACTAACTAGAGAAATATATAAATTATATAGCATTCTACATTGATCAGGGAAGGAAAAAAACACATTAAAAATAATGTGTGAAATATATAGTAAAATATACATATGTGAAAATCGATGTTGTCAATCCAACGAGGACATTATGTGTGTGTATTCTTTGGATCATTAAAAACATTTTAGAGAAATTATCTCTTTCCCTAAAACAAAATGTTTGATATTCCAATGAAAAGAAATCGACGTACAATATTACGAGATTGATATTTATGAAGTAGGTCTCGATTACGGATTTGTTGAGATTGCAAACTGAAATTTGAGGAAGATATATGTGAGTATGAGTATTAATATTAGTATTAGTAGTAGTATTAGTATTAATATTAGTATTAGTATTAATATTATTATTAGTTTTAGTATTGGTATTAGTATTAGTATTAATATTAGTATTAGTAATAGTATTAGTATTAGTATTAGTATTAGTATTAGTATTAGTATTAGTATTAGTATTAGTATTAGTATTAGTATTAGTATTAGTATTAGTATTAGTATTAGTATTAGTATTAGTATTAATATCAATATCAATATCAATATTAGTATCAGTATTAATAACAGTATCAATATCACTATGAGTATGAGTATGCATGAGTATGAGTATGAGTATGAGTATGAGTATGAGTACGAGTATAAGTATGGGTATAAATATCAGTATCAGTATTCGTATCAGTATTAATATCAGTATAAGTATCAGTATAATATCAGTAGCAGTATCATCAATAGTATCAATATCAATATCACTATCAGTATAAGTATTAATATCAATATCAATATCAATATCAATATCAATATCAATATCAATATCAATATCAGTATCAATATTAGTATTAGTATTAGTTATATTAGTATTAGTATTAGTATTAGTATTAGTATTAGTATTAGTATTAGTATTAGTATTAGTATTAGTATTAGTATTAGTATTAGTATTAGTATTAGTATTAGTATTAGTATTAGTATTAGTATGAGTATCAGTATCAATATCAGTATCTGTATTAGTATCAATATTAGTATCAGTATCACTATCAGTATTAGTATTTATCAATAACAACATCAGTATGAGTATGAGTATGAGTATCCATATCAGTATCAATATATGTATCAATATCTATATCTATATTAGTATTGGTATGAGTATTGGTATGATTATTGGTATGAATATTGGTATGAATATTAGTATCGGTATTAGTATTGGTATAAGTATTAATAATAATATTAGTATTTGTATCGGTATCGGTATCGGTATCAGTATCAATATGTACGTATCAGTATGTGTATTAATATTCGTATCAAATTAATATCAGTATCAGTATCAATACCAATATCAATATTATTATCAATATTAGTATTATTATTAGTATTCAAATTCATATTAGTCTTGGCCTATTAGCATTAACATTAGCATTAGCATTAGTATTAGTATTAGTTTTCTTATTAGTATTGGCTTATTAGTTTAAACATTAAATATTCATATTAGAAGTGGCGTATTATTATTAATATTAGTGTTGATATTAATATTAGTATTAGACTATTAGTATTAATCATCGTATTAATATTAAAATTAGTATTAATATTAGTATTATTAGTGTTGATTTTAGTATTAATATTAGTATTGGTATTAGTATTATCAATGTTGGTTTTAGTATTAGTAGTAGTAGTTGTTAGTGGAATATTAGTGTTAATATTAGGGTGGATAGGCAATTGTACGCCGCAATGTCCAGAGATAAAAGTAGATTTGAGATAAAAAATAATTATCAACTCAGAATCGGGCGATATAACTAAAATTACGAGCAATGTTGTGTGACAAAAGATTTTCAGCGAATATGAAGGTAAATCACAAACAAATGAATATTTTGTATTATTTACATGTATGTCAACTGTTCAAAGTTTTCGTTCGTTTTATTTTATCCAAAATATTTTTTTTGAAAAAATTGATCTCGTGCATCGCACGGGTGAATTACTAGTTTGATTTATTTGGCGAAGTTTATACAATGTTGGTAGTCCCAATTATATTAATTTATAGAGGTTTAACTGTATGTGTGTGCCATAACTGTGCCGGTTTAAATTATCGCTATTATTAATTTTGACGAATGAGGTGATACTTGACAATTATTTGTTGACCATAATAAAATGATTATTTATTGACCATAACTTATGAAAATGGAATGACTTGGTTTGGTATGAAAAGTCTCCTATATCAAACCATCTTACTTTTAATAAAAGTTCTAAATGAAAATAAAATAGATCTACTTGATACTTGATATGAAATTAATACATACAAAAATAAACTTTCGCTTGTGCTCGTTTATACGAATCCGGTTTGAATTTTCGTTTAATAAGATATGAAGCGTGGTTTGAGTTGGAGTTCGATTAGAACAAAAAAGAATGAATAAACAAACACGTATTAAAAGCCAAGCAGCTCGAACTCAATTTCATTAGAAAAACTCATATGAATTTGACTTTTTTTTTTTTTTTTTTTTTTTTTAATAATCAAATCAAACTCAAATACAATTATAAAGACTCAATAAAAATTCAAACATGTTTGAATAGCCATCAGTTTTGCTAGTCGATTCGACTCGTTTATACCCATATCACGGGCTAGATATAAGAAATCTAAAATATATAGGAAGTGTAGTGTGTAAAATTACACATGCATCATGATTTGTAATCCAAATTAATGATTTAGGGAGTTCAATGTAATATTATATATATATTTTTGTATACTATTTAACTAATTATATAAATCTGTTAAAGAAAAAAAGTAAAAAAAAAAAAAATGAAATCGAGGATTAATCCTGACCGTCCATTTAGATCATCGGTGAAGTAGTAAGGTGTACAATTCAGAGTATTCAACCTTCTCCAGAAATCTCTATACAAAGCCCCTTTCCTTCACCAGCATTCTTTCCGTACTTCTCTGTTTGTCAAAATCGCCATCAAATAGGTGCGATTTGGGCATATAGTTCTGGATCTGTGTTCTAATCGGATCAATTCCGATCTGAGATTAGGGATTATTGGAAGCAATTCAAGATGTTTGGTAGGGCGCCGCCGAGTAAAAGTGACAACACCAAGTACTACGAGGTTCTCGGTGTCCCTAAAACGGCGTCGCCGGATGATTTGAAGAAGGCGTACCGGAAAGCTGCTATTAAGAATCATCCCGACAAAGGCGGTGATCCTGAGAAGGTATTTATCAGAACTTTTTTTTTTGTGATTTTGTTTTTTTGTAATTTCTTCCGTTTCTGATCGATTGGGTGTTCGAGCGCCATAATTTTTGATTTTTTTTACTTGATTTGTTTGATATCGATTTAGTAATTGTGCGGTGAAAAGTTTGTGTGTGTGTGTGGAGCTGGTATTATTTGCGATCTGAGTTTTATTATCGTTAATTAGGGCTACGAAAATGTTGGGTTCGGGTAGAGAGTTGAAAAATTTCAGTCTTGATCACGGATTTGTTTGAAATCTTGAGCTTGAGTTCTTGGCCTGCTTGTAAATGTACTCTTGAGATTAATTAGACTGTTAAGATGAATTATTATTGCCGTGGAGATAGCCGAATAGGAGAAGTTTAGGTTGATTTTGGACTATGAAGATGATAATGGTGGTTTGTAGATATATACAGGGCGAACATTCAATCAAACTGCGCGCAAAGAGCTTATGCAGAGGTTTGAATTTGATTTCGTATTATATGATAATTTCCAACAGTAATGCTATTAGCTAGATAATCTTGCAGGATTCTTTTACGTTTTTACTTTATTTATTTTAGTGTCTAGGAAATACGTCTGATGTTTTGGGAGAGGTTAGATTTCAGAAACTTCATTCTCGGATCTGTGTTTAAGAGAATCAAGAAAATGATTGATTTGAATTCTGGATTCAGACTCTGGCTAACTGCCTTAATATGACTGTGAAGAGCTACCAATTGGTTTTAATGATACGGTAATATAATGTAGTGCTAGGAAGTTTAAGCGGTTGTAATAACACATCAGGCTTCTTAGTATCTCATTCCAATTAATTTGATTAATGTCACAGTTTCATTGTGCATGTTACCTCTTTGAAAAATAACCTATTCAATTTCATTATGCTTCAATCTTTTGTCTATTGAGTCAAATTGGTGGCATTTATGGTTAATTTGGGACTTTGTTGAAGGATATCAATATTGGATATGCAAGTATGGTTTGTTCGACAGGGCCAGGTTAGAGAGTTTTTAGCAGAATCGGTTTAAGGTTTCTGCTGTTGTTAGTGTCTGTTTCTATGCAGGCCTTTGATCATACAAAATTGACATGTAATTACTGTATACTAATTATTGCGGTTTGAGATTCAAATGAAAATTAAGATACTGTTAATGCTATTTATATTTTTGGTGCATGCGTCCGATTGTGGACTTGGTGCCTAATAAAGTTGTTTGTTGCTGTAGTTCAAGGAGCTTGCTCATGCTTATGAGGTTTTGAGCGATCCCGAAAAACGTGAAATCTACGATCAGTATGGTGAAGATGCACTCAAGGAAGGAATGGGTGGTGGTGGTGGTGGCGGCATGCACGACCCGTTCGACATCTTCTCATCCTTCTTTGGCGGGAGCCCATTTGGAGGTGAGCCATTCGAACTCTCATCTCATATTTCGACGCTAGACTTTTATCTTTCTATAAATGTGTCAAAACTTATAAATCTGTTTCCTGATGACCAGGTGGTGGCAGTAGTAGGGGGCGAAGGCAAAGAAGGGGAGAGGATGTAGTGCATGCACTGAAAGTGTCTCTCGAGGATTTGTACCTCGGTACCTCCAAGAAGCTCTCGCTATCACGCAATGTACTTTGCAAGAAGTGTAACGGGTTAGTGTTTACCCTAGTTAGTTCTTGTAGATTTTTTTTCTGTCTATTTAGGGGCAATATAGTAATTTGGTTTGCTTTCGTTTCTGCTAATGCAGTAAAGGGTCGAAATCCGGAGCATCATTGAAGTGCACAGGCTGTCAAGGAAGCGGCATGAAGGTCTCGATTAGGCAGCTGGGGCGTGGTATGATTCAGCAAATGCAGCAGCCTTGCGGTGATTGTAGAGGAACAGGTGAGACTATCAATGATAAAGATCGATGCCCTCAATGCAAAGGCGACAAGGTTGTTCAGGAAAAGAAAGTCTTGGATGTCCATGTTGACAAGGGCATGCAGAACGGCCAGAAGATTACATTCCCCGGAGAAGCTGACGAGGCGGTATGAAATGTCTTGGTCTTTATCTTCCTTTTTTCCCGTTTGTAGAATCGCAATTTTTCTTAATTTTTTCCCCCCAAATTACAGCCTGATACGGTCACTGGAGACATAGTATTTGTGGTTCAGCAGAAGGAACATCCTAAATACAAGAGAAAGGGCGACGACCTTTTCATAGAACACACACTTCCACTCGGTGAAGCTTTATGTGGCTTCCAGTTTGCACTTTCCCATTTAGATGGACGACAGCTTCTTATCAAATCACAGCCTGGAGAAGTTGTAAAGCCTGGTTAGTTCTTCTTCTTAACTCCCCTCTCTTTGAATAATCATATTATCCCTCATTTGGTTGGGACGATTAAGATACACCACGATTAATTAACTAATCGGACATGATTTTGTGTTTCATTAGTCCGTGTAGTTTTCAGCCCAGCCCGGAAATTTCTCTTACCAACTTGAGAATTTGTGTATTATATATTATGTATGTATATATATTTTTATACATGGGGTACGGTTGATATGGTCATGAACTATTATCCTGTTTGACAAACGAGGTCGAACGAAATTGCAAATATCCTATCTTGGTTAATCCCATATCTAATGATGAAATCATGTTTTGAACGAACTGATGTTGGCAGATTCGTACAAGGCGATAAACGACGAAGGAATGCCGATATATCAGAGGCCGTTCATGAAGGGTAAGCTCTATATCCATTTTAATGTGGAGTTTCCAGATTCTTTGAGTACAGAACAAGTGGAGGCATTGGAGAAGATTCTTCCACCAAAGCCACAATCGAAGCTTACGGATATGGAGGTGGACGAGTGTGAAGAGACGACACTGCACGATGTCAACATCGAGGATGAGATGAGAAGGAAGCAGGCGCACCGCCAGCAGGAAGCTTATGATGATGACGACGAAGATATGCACGGTGGGGCCCAGAGGGTCCAATGCGCTCAGCAGTGATCAACTCTATATATAGAATCTTTATATATAAGAACGCTGCGGTGTGCCTGAATTTTTCAGACGTCTTTTTTTTTTCAATTGCGTTGTCGTGACATTTATAATGTTGTTTGAAACAAATTAATTCATTTCAAGATCTATGTTGTTTGCGGACATGAATTTTATTACGAGACTGTTTGAAATCTTTTGAATTTTCGGTTTCTCTTATCTCTGAGTCACTGCTCCGGCTAGTGAATAAATAGGTTGATGATGACAATTTTGAATTTACATGTTTGGCATGGTTAGTATTTTGGATGATTTTTTTCTATGAATTTCCAATTTTACCCTTGATTTAATTTTATTTTGCTTTTTTCCTGGACGAATTTATTTCCTCTGCTGCATCCCCATTTATTCTTGCACATACATGTAGAAGTAGTCCTATTATGAATTGAAATATTTTTTTGTGCCACCTTTCTTTATTTATGGGACTTTTGCTTAAATTATTTGAATCATAGAGAGAACTTTTGCTAATAAAATTACATAATTTTGTAACGATTTATAAAAATTAGGATAAATTACAGCAACTCCCCGAGAAAATGTCAAATTATGAAAAAACCCCTTATTATGTTTGGGTAATTACAACCACCCATCAACTATGATTCTTCTTACACATCCATCATTGCGGTGTCAAATTTAGTGTAATCTTCTAGATTATGTGGAATAACTTCTCCAGTTCGTGCCCGTCTTAGACTATTCGAACTCCACATTTTGAAACAAGTTGATCATAAGATCTGTCTCGTGGCTTGTAAGTATCTGATTGTGGTGTATCAGAAACTGCATTTTTGAACAAAACGAGTACAAACTAGACACATTATATTGCGCGGAAGATATTGTTGAATTTGACACCACAAGATTGAACGTACAAAATAATTCACAATTGAGGGATGGTTGTAATTACCCAAACAAAAGAAGTTTTATTTCTTCAGAATTTGACTTTACCTCAGGGGTTAGATTGTAATTCACCCTAAAAATTAAAAGGGCGTCGAATGCAATAAACCTTAAAAATAATGTGCCTATCAAAAGTTTCCAAATAAAGATCAGTCTTATAATCTGGGATAAATACACAAGATTTTGTTAATATATTGAAATTACCAAATCTTAATCCTTTGTTACAATTAAACGACGACGCGTCAACCTACCTCCAAACCCTAATTTTCCAAATTAAAACAAGATTTATAATAGGTAATAAGTAGGGCTTTTCCCCCAAATTTTCCTATTTATACAAGAACCCATCACCTCATTCCCCATTCACAAATCAAATCGATCAGAAAAAAAAAAAAATCTTTAATTTGTTCAGAAAAAATAAAAAAATAAATCATATTTCGATGGCTGGAGATTCGTCGGTTTGTTCGGCTACGGTTGAAAAAACAATCTCCATAATGAAGAATCTGAGCTTGGAGGAAGAAAGTAGTTGTACTAATATATATGCATGCAAAAGAAAGATGTCTGCAACTGATGATTATAATAATGAATATTTATTCGAGGAAGATGAATCTTGTTCCGACAAGAAGATGATGATGTCAGCAGAAGCCGAAGCAACCCTAAGTAATCAGTTTCGTCATCTGATGTTGAGGAGGCCCGATCGAGACTGGCGACAGCGGTTTTTTCCGAGACGTAAACGCGTCCGTCGCACCACCGTTGCTGTTACCATCCCACCGGTTTCGTAGAACAAATTTATATAGTCGTTGAGTCGATCGTCGAATATGTATTTCCCGATGGTAGTAAGTTGTATAAGTTTAACAAATTAATTACCATATTTAGGGTTTTTATTAAGGCATTTGTGTAACGGTATATTGAATTTTATTAATAGTTTTAATTTCTTGTGATATTGATCTTGTG